TCCAGCCCTCCTGCCCCCTCCCCAGGCCTCCACCACCCTCCTGTCTGTGTCCATGGGTTATGCATATATGCATATAAGGTCTTCGGTTGATCTTTTCCCACCCACCCACCACCCTGCCTTCCCTCTGAGATTGGACAAGAAATTGGTTTTTAATAAGACTACACACGATCCCTTGGCGCATGGTTCTACAGGTTGAGTGGCTTGTTTGAATCCTGTTTACAAAGTTGATGAGCACTGACTATAATACACATTTCCCCCCAAATCAATGGCAAAGCTCTCGTCCTGTCACAGGTGCCTTCACAGGCCCCTTAGCCACCAGGGCTCCTCCTCTCCCTGGAAAGGCCTTTAACAAGTAACATAGTTTACACTCTAGTTGGGTCTTAGTATTTTCATATTATATACAAACAAATACAATTGTCCTGTAACCTGATGCCTCTGAAAGCATGTGGCATACCCTCACTGTTCTCAGAAAGCTCAATAGGACAGTCACACTTGCTTCTGGAAAGTGTCACTCTTTGTTCCTGACCAATCAGAGCGCTCCAAGTGGGCACCCAGGGACTTCCTATAGGGCATCCAGGGGAGGTTGGCCCGGGAGAAAAGAGCTGCCCTTTCAGTAATGATGCAAGTCAACCAGCAGACCTCAGGGCGAGGATTAACTTCGCAGAATAAACAGTATAACTGTTCCAGCAGTTGTTGTTTTTTTGGTGCGTGCGTGCGTGCGTGCGTGTGTGTGTGTGTGTGTGTGTGTGTGTGTTTGCTTGCTTTTACCCAATGTTGGACATTCCGTTCTTTAATTATCTTAGGCTTTTCTCAGGAATAAACTAAGAGTTGTGATTTTTGTGTGTGTCAGACTTGAAGGTTTCTGAGTAAAGAAGCCACAACTTAGAAGAATGTTCCTGCTTGTACTTATTGAGTAATTGTGGTCATTTTTGCATAGTCCTGATGTTGAATTCCATGGTTGGCACTCTAATGGCCTAATAATTTTTCAGAAAATGAGACCAGGAACAGCTGCCAATATAAACCGTCATTTTCTTTTCATCTAGTACATTTCAACTTTTTAAAAAGTGGACTACTATTTGGTTTCTCTCCAATTTTTTTAGACTGACTTTTTTAATAGATAATAAAAGTAATTTCTAGACATACTGCTTTCTCTGATTAACCTTAGAAAGGTCACATGTTTTACATCTTTAGTTAAACTGTGAGCAGATTTGAAAAGTGGTACCTTTTAGAAAAGCAAGTGTAATTTCACTTCTATTTTGATGATATTGATTTTAAAAAATGGTAGGTTTAATAGTCTCCTCACTTGCCACTGACATATATTATACTTATGGTTTGCTTATCATCTGCCCCCAATAGTACAGGCTTCCTGAGAGCAGGGGATTGTTTTGTCTGTTTTCTTTCACTGCTCTTTCTAACCGCAATAGGTCTTGACATACAGCAGATACGCGGTGGTCTTGATTGGATGAATTTAGTTTTGAGAATTTGGCATCTTTATAGTTATCATCCTGTGTTCTGCTCACTGTAAACTTCTGCGTATTGTATCTATAGTACATCAGGTGGCTTAAATGGACTGTTTCTTTTCTAGTTCACCTCTTTACTTAAAATAGTAGTCAACTCGATGATAATTACTGATCTTCATGGTTTGTAAGTTCCCTCTATTAACCTGAATTCTATTTCCTGCAGCTACTTGGCAACTGAAAGAGATCATGTCCTTCCACTTCTTACAGGTTCCTCGCATTCCACACCAGCCTCAATGACGTAGTGGGGAAACTCCTTTAAAGTTTCCATATGTTACTCACATTGCCATGGTGTAATTTTGAAGTGTCACGTTAGTCCAGCATTGCAATTCCTAGCTGTCACAACACTGTTCCGCGTGTGCCTGTACCTTGCAGGTGTACCGACAAAGCTGTTTTAATTAGCAACAGCTCTGTGCTTTATTGCATGCTCCTGGTTCCATGCTGGGAATGTAAGAGGCGTTTTTATAAAATAAATTGACACCCACTAATGTGTCTGTTTTATAAGTTTGGAATTTTTTATACTGATTATTCCTAAAGTGGAAAACATCTGGGCCCGGCATTTAAAATCTGGTTTTGTTTGCCTGAACTCTTTGGAATGACAGTAATAGGCTAGAGATCTGACGCTTTTTGATGCCAGTTCAGGTGATAAAGCCTTTGTTTCAGGGGCGCTAGTTTTCCTGTTTACGTGTTTATCATATGTTGTTTCAGGCCTTGCGAGATGAACTGGAAAACCGCTCGAACCAAGTGCGATGCGCAGAGAAGAAGTTGCAGCACAGGGACCTGGAGGCCCAGGAGCAGGTACGCCCCCCACACCCCCCTCCGCCAGCGTGCTTGTGTGTTTCTCCACAGCGGGAGCTGATGTGTTTCCTGTTTCCACTGGGGTGTTTGGCTGCACGTAACAGAATGCCCCGCTCCTGGCTGGCAGAGACAACAAAGAGATTTATTACCTCACAAAACCAGAAGGCTGTAGGTAGGGCAGGCTCTGGGCAGAGAGCCTCGGGCCTTGGCTCCCTCTATAACATTCTTGTGGCTCTTCCCCTGGGTTGACTTCATCCTAAAAGCAGTGCCAAGGCCTCTCATGATTCCCAGCAATATCCAGAGGCAGAAGCGGACTGTCTGCCTCTAGGGACCCTTCTGAAGAGTAAGACCTTTCCCAACAACCCCTACACACGTACCCCTAGCTTCTCATTGGCCAGGACAGATCACATGCTCTGCCTGGCATATCCAATCCCTGGCAAGAGGACTGAGGGGACCCATACCAGCCTAGACCAACCGGGATCTATGTGGGAGAGGGAGAATAACCTGAACAGGAAGTGGGGAGAGGGATGTTGGGTCCACAGCCAGCAAGCAGTGTGTGTGGTGTCATCATATTCGAATGGAGAGACAGAAATCACATTTTCTTTTGAACTGAATTTTCTCCTCTCTCTCCATTATATTAATAAAATAAATCAAATTTAACCAGAATAATCTGGCTATGATGATAGCTAATGACCTATTTCATTTTCAAATGGCAGGATTCTTTTTATTCAGTTCTTCTGGATATAGTGAGTTATTCTTTGGGGTAATTTTTGACAACTTAAGTGAAAAAGGCAGCAATGTATTGAGAGCTCAGGAGCCTCAGTGGAACCTTTATAAATGCATGTCCTCAGCTCTTGGGTGCAGCATTTTTCACATTCTCCAAGGTGCCACCACGCCTCATGCACATTACCTGTCGTCTCATAGTGCAGTCAGTGCAGGAATGTCCGGTTAGTCATTCTGACCCTGTGGGGAGAGTAAACACTGAAGTAAGGCTAATAGGCAATGTTTTTCATCTTGGGAGGTGTCTACAAACAGGACCTTGAGGCAGGGGACTGCACAGAATGGTAGACGGAAGCATCCCATAGGTGCTGAGTATTCATACCAATGAACTGACGGCCTCATAATTCCCTCCTACTCTCTAACATACACCCAGCATAACATACATGCCATGTAATATGTATAGATCACGTGTATGATATGCATGAATATACAAATATATGTATTACAGAGGGCCTGTCATACAGTCAACAATAGAATCACAAAACAAGATAATACTAGAATACAAAATTAATAACTATACTTTATCAAAGGCCTACAAAATAACAGATGCTATACAAGCAGCGTTATACATGTTAGTTCATGTATCCTGATAACAACCATGTAAGGCCAGCGTTATCATCCCCATGTCACAGAAGCTGTAAAACCCGGAGGGGTTGAGTAACCCGCCCAAGGTCATAGAACTAGTAGAGAGTACAGTGGATTCAAACCCACGTTACTCTGAATGCCAAACCTCTGCTCCTTTGATGACACGTTTTAGGTTACATTTCTAGTTCATAAAAAAGCTGCATGGCAGACTCAGGGCAAGTACGTGTATTAAGGATGGCAGGGAAGCAAACATCCCGTGCCAGCATTAACCCTCCACGGGCAGAGAGCAGCAAAGAGCAGAGGAAACGAACGCAGAGCAGACAGGGCCCAGATGCAAACAGCTCCTTGGATGGCTGTGGTGTGAGCTCCATGGCACAGGCTTCCTTCGCTGAGGCCGCTGGGCTCCACCTCTGTCTCGGATGCTTGTAACTGAAGAAGTCAAGCTTCCTGAAAGCAGGAACAGTGCTCCCTGGAGGCCTGGTTTCTCCAGTTTGTGATAAAATATGACTTAAGGTAACACTTTGTTGACATCGCTCTAATTCATGGCAGAACTTCACACGGAAAACTCCATCGTGTGCTGAGAGGAGGGAAATGAAGAAATCCCCAATGAACAACGGGGCAGGATTCAGGAACCACTTCGGTCTCTTTTCATTGACTTCTTTTTGATCATCAAAGTTGCTTTCATCTTTGCAGTGACAATAGCTTTTTAGACTATTTCTTACACTAATTCCTGATATCTTCTGTTAGGCTCCAAGTTTACCAAAGAAACGTCAGGAAATACCCATGGGTAAAGCTGCAGAGTTCATAGTCTGTGCAACCATGACATGTTGGGTCCTTCCCACAAGATCCTAGGCTGTAGCTGGAAAAAAATGCCAGTTGCTTCAGCAAAACTGAAGAGCAAATGATGGGCACTTGATAAATACTACTCACTCGGAATTTAATTCAACTTCTATCTTTATCTAAATTTGACCTCTGCCCCCTTTCAGTTTATGACACTAATAATTAGAAGTATTGTGTTGTACATTCTTAGGGTCCACTTCTATATGAGCTTACTCAGACAGTTAAAATCTTTTTTAAGTTTTTTAAAGATTTGTGCATTTATTTATTTTGTTATTGTTGTTGTTAATCCTCACCCAAGGATATTTTTCCATTGATTTTTAGAGAGAGTGGAAGGAGAGGGGAGAGACAGAGAGAGGGTAAAACATCGATGTGAGAGAGAGACACATCAGTTGGTTGCCTCCCGCACCTGCCGGTACAAGAGGCCGGAATAGAGCCTACAACCAAGGTATGCGCCCTTAACCAGAATCTAACCCAGGACCCTTCAGTCTGCATGATGATGCTCTATCCACTGAGCCAAACCAGCCAGGGCAAATAGTTAAAATCTTGAAATTGTTGTATATGATTGTCTGTTTTGCATGTCAAAGCAAGGGTAGTCCCAGTCACTGGCCTGACATCAGCCAACCAAATGACTGAAACGTGTGCAGATCAGCTTCTCGAAACTTCTCTTCCTTTTCAACCACACATTATCCTGGTACGAGTTGCAGAAAGAGTCAGAATTGGAACTGGCAGGATTACAAAGGACAGTTTCCTGGGCTTCTTTTTTTAACTCGCTCACTTAGAAAAAGAAAAGAAAAAGCTTAAACTGTTGCTGTTTTTCATTTAGGAAAAATTCCTATGTTTTGATTCTATAAAAACAAAAAATGAATGAGGCATTTTAAAAGTTGTGTTTTTAATTAAAAACAAAAAGCTGCTTCTCCTCAGGTCTCGATGGGTGGTATCCTTGCTGCCCACCCCTTGCCTCGGTGCCATCAACGCTCCTAACTCCTCCCCTGGCAGGTCCATCAGCACCGCGCCCAGAGGAGGCTTTGCTCATCGTAGCTACAGAGGGTTAATTTGCTCCTTATGCAGGTTCAAGATAAGCCAAATAAAATTAGGAAACACTAACTCTCTAAGCCAGCCTTCCAGAAACACCAACTTATCTTGTAATTCATAAGTAGTAAAGTCATTAGAAACCATCGTTATTTTTAGCCATACCAGGAGTTAATAATTTCTGATTCCAGATAAGATCCGAGCAAGAATCCCATAATTGCAGCAAACCAGGGGAGGTCAGAGCTCTGGCCCAGCTTCCTCCTTGTGCAAGGAAACTGAGTCATCAGGAAAAGATGTGAGCCCTCACAGCAGGGGCGGCCAGGGAAGGACCGCTCCCACCCAGCCCACGTGGGCTGCTCGCTCCCGGCCATGACACTTCCCATTGGAGGGAGCTACGTAACATGGGTACATGCTGTGTATCGCTCAGTTCAGGGATGTGTACAACTGACCCTCACTTTCCTGAGTAAACAGTGTTTCATCATTCTCAATGAGACTAAGTAATTTGCCGACACGGGACAATATTATAGAAAAGACAGGGAAGAAAAGAAACAGTTTAAAAATTCACTTGGTATTCTTAACAGTACAAAGTTTACACTTGTCACAAAGGCACTGAGCAACGTCAGATTTCGACCTAATATAATGTGGATAGTAGTGTACACACCGCAGATGCTCTGGGTGGAAGTAGGTATCTTAAGGTTGAAAGTATTAATGGCTTTGATTACATCAGTTGTTCAGTTTCCCAAATTATTTTAGATAAATTAGTGAGAAAAGACAGCGAGCCAGAGATGTCCTAATAAATGAGCACAGCGCTGTGCATTTCCCAGCAGGGTCCCACTGTCTGCCCTCAGCTCGTGGCGGCACATGGTAGGTGCTGGGAAGACAGAGATGAGTGGGTTGGAGAGGAGTTTACGGGTTAGTAGCACAGAGGAGACCCGTATACAGTGTAGACTCCACGCGTGGAGTTTGAGGGAGGTTCTTTCTTATTCTTCTAAATGGCTCAGAGGCTCAGAATCACAAATGCAGAAAGAACACAGCATTAGTCCTGTGTCCATCCTGCCTGCCCCCCGTGAGGAAGGACGAGGAGGACCTGCAGCTGGTCAGAGCTCAGGTCCCATGGCCCAGGCAGGGCTTGGCGCTCACTGACACATGTTGTTTCAAAAGCCTGCGTCCCTCAAGGGAACCGGGTCCTTCTGGCGGTCCGAGGGGGGCAGCGCCTCTGCCAGTCTTCTCAGGGCCCACCAGGCCTTGTTGCCCGGGCAGCGACCGGAGGGCCTCTGCCTTCTGGCCAGTGTTATTAGCAGCCAGCTGCTTTGGTTGTGCCTCTTACCTGGTGTGTCCAGGTGTTAAGGGTCTGGACTGTGCAGCCACAAGTAACCCATAAGTTGTCTTAAAATATACAGCAAAAAGCCAGCCATACTCAACATTCAATCACATCTTTGCTGCAACCTACTTTATATTTCAGGCCTAGACACATTCATTACTTTCAGAGAGAATCTAGCAAGCAAAGACAGCCTCAGAGGTAATTGTGTGTATTTGGGGAGGGGGCAGAGGTTGTCCCAGAGCCAGTTACCAGAACCCAAGGCAGGGGCTGGGGCAGGAGAGGCTGCAGGACAAGGGAGATCCAGTGGGGATGACTGCTGGTGCTCAGGCCACTTTGTCCCTGCTGGTCATTGGGCAAGCACTGCACGGCTCCAGTACCAAGTCCCTGAAACGCCAGTGCTCATACCTTCCCACAGGGTGGATGTGGACATCAAAACGAGGTCACG